GTCCTTTACTACAAATAATCCATATTGATGTCACTGAAAAACAAATAGTTCCTGCAACATAAAGTTGCCATGAAGAATGCTATTATGTGGGATGCCAGGCAGCTGAATCTACTCTTCCAAGAAATCGTGTTCCATTTTCTACCATTTTTTGTACCCACTCCACACTGAAGTCATCCAGCACTCCATAGACACTAAACCAGGGATCGCCAACCTTTTCAACCTCAGGGACCACCAAACTTATAATTTTAAATCCCATGAATCAGAGACCCTGAGAAAATCCCCAAAAAAGTCTGCAGGAAAATTCCCCACCCGGTTTTCCTACTAATCAATCATTCTTTATTTGGGATTGCAGGATACAGTCTCCAGCTGTTCTCAAGGAGAGGGAGGGAGAGGGAGAGGGAGAGGGAGAGAGAGAGAGAGCGGGAGAGAGACAGAGACTTTTGGCTTAGAAGTTTTTCTTTCTCGCCCAAACTCTGACAGAAACGAGTCTTTGTGAGACTTGTCGCACCGACGCAGCCTCTTGGAGCAGGATGCCTTGCAGGATCTCAAAGACTCATTTCTGGCGGAGTTTGGGGGAGAGAAAGAGACTTTAGCTGCTTTCCTTGTGTGCAGCCACAAGCAGAAGAAAAAACCGGACAGAAGCAGCCTTATGACCATGTGAGGTGAGTGGGGCAAGTTCCACCCACCCTTCCCCCCTCCCCTCACTACCTCTTGTTCACAAGGCAAGTGACACAAACCTTGTGTTCCTATGGGCCATGTGGCAGTGCAGCTTTGTGTTTCTGTGCAGCCTGGATTAATTGCTTTGGGGGGGGTGCTACGGGGGGGGTGACATTTCTCTGCGGACCACCAAAAATTTCTCATGGACCACCAGTGGTCCCCAGCCCACTGGTTGGCGACCACTGCACTAAACAATTCTCTTGGAATTTGCAGGGAATGATAGACTAAAGATTACACTAAATTGAACTAGGCTAAAATGGATTTGTTGTTTGCAGTTATTCATGTTGTGTGAATCAGGCATCACAATGAGCCATATGTATTTGGGCATAGCACTTTATGTGAATGGAGCTTTTGTTTTATTAATTCAGGTTTTGTGTGTTGTGTAAATCTAGCCATGGCAGAATATAGGTCTTTCTTTTTCTATTTATGCCTTTCTAGATTTCTTGAAGTTCTTTCAAGCTTGCAAATATGTCGGTCCCAGACATGAATGGTATTGTTTAGGCATAATACAACCAACACTTGAAAAATTGAGTAGCTATTTATCAAATGGCTTTTTTTGAAGTCCTTCCTTCCCTTCTCTTCCCGTACAAGACTGAGATTTCTCAGAGTTTTTTGCGCTAATAAAACATGACAACCCAAATGATTGCATTTGTCATATTCCTAGTCACGTTGAGGTTTTCTCTGTTCCAGGGGGTCTATTTTCTTTTTTACTTGAGCCTGCAGTCTCCCTTACTAATGGCTACTCTTCTTTAGACTTCTTCCCCCATTCTAGCCCAAGAGACGTTTCTTGAAGAAATACAATTACCTAATGGTGCAGAACAGGCACGACAGTCCCCTTTGATGAACGCTCCATTTCAACAAGATGTTGCGTATGACTCAGAATGAATCAGACCGGAGAAAGAGAACTGCAGCCTCAGAGAGAAAGGATGGCAGCCTACAAGCTACAGCCAGAATGCCGCACTGCCTAATCATCATTACTTGCCAGTCCAATTGTAAAGTACATTATGCATCTGTAATAGAATTAGTGTATATACATCAATGACCATGCCCAGAAAAAGCTGCTAATTAACAACAGTGAAGCCTAAGTAAGTCATAATCTGTAGTTATTACATTATCTGCATTGTAATTTGAGAGAGTAAATGATAGCAGCAAAATCAAATTTTTGGAATAAATGATTCTGGAGAAGCAAGGGAAAATCAGGAGGGGACAAAGGGAACATTATTGTTCCCATTTGCCACATTTACAATGAGTATGTAAGCTACAGTCCACTGCTCCTTTCATCTGCAACGCTGCAAGTCTAGATTGCACAACAAACTACGCTAGGGTACAATGGCACTGGGGTGCTATTCAGTGTATTGTGGGAATCCAGCCATTGCATCACTGTATTGCTAGAATCAAGCCATCACATTTAAAAATGGATTGTTTTGAGCATTCTATGTTCTATGAAAACTGCATCAGCCAGGTTTTGATAAACTAGGTTTTTGATTCAGCAAGTTGTGTGTATCTAGGCACTAGTTCCAGGTTTTTTAAGCTGAACTTAAAATAAAAAAATACCTAATTCAGTGTCTCCAGCTTAATACTGTACAGGGAAGGTATTTATTCTATTTATATAGCCATTAATCTCAGTGTTGCTCTGGGCAGTGAACACACACCCAAAAAACCAACAAAAACATTGTCAATTAAGAACAATCAGAATGTTGTGATACCATTATTTTCTGGCTATGAATATTTAGATGGCTTATTTATATAAAGCCCTATCCCTAATAATAGCTATGAGTTACAAACCCACTAAGGCACTTTCTCTCTATTGCAATTATGGCACTGCAATGAGATGCCACTGCTGCTGAATCTTTTGAAAAGAAAGTAAGAGAATTGCCTGAACCCAAGAGGCAGGAGGCAGAGGCAGGCAAATCCCCATCAAGTGGGAAATGGGCCATCCACAAGTCTGCAGAGCTTCAATGTTCCAAATGGAGAAATCATTTTTTTTTCTGCTATATTAGGTATGCTGAACTAAATAAGTTTGGTTGCAAAGCACAGCAGGGGTATTTCTGAAATGATGCAATGGTGGTGTCCTCCAAAAATATTGGTCATGCTTGCTGGAAATAATGGAAGTTCCTCTCTCTCATGGAACAAGACTGGACAAAGCTACACTATAAGAACATCCCAACCAGCTGCTTGTTTTAACGTGGAAGTTCACAATACATATATGTTGTTTTACTGCAATTTTAGTGTTCTATATAGAGAACAAAAAAGTGCAGAGCAGTTTGTTTTGCTATAGTGATTTCTTAAGTTTGCTTCTCTCAAATACATACTTATTTGGGAAATAAATTTGGCACAATCAATAGCACTTGCTACTGTGCTAAATATACTGGCAGTCCGCACAATCTGTTGCCCTAATTAAGTGAGGATTTTGGGTCATTAAGAGAAGACTTACATGATCACAACTTGCAATTTCCTGCCAGGTCCCAACAAGCAAAATCAATTGGGAAACCAACAGGAAGTTGCAAGTCCTGGTCACAAGCCTTTGGTGGTTCACAAGCAGGCCAGCGGTGTGCAAGTGAGCACTAGAGTGTAGGCAGGCACAAGGGTGGGAACTGTAGGTGAGCACTACAGTCCAATGCAAGTGGGGCTGGGCATATGCCTGCTCACCTGTGGAGATGGGGTTCTCAGGAGAAACAGTGGGAATGTGAGCAACTGCAACTTCCTGCCATCTTCCCCATTGACTTTGCTTGTGAGAAATTAGTAGGAAAAGTCACAAATTGCAATCAAATGATCACAAGATACTGCAGAAGAACGAACGATAGTACAAGGCAGAAAAATTCAGACCTACATTTTCTCAGTTTTCCTGGTTTGCAGCCTATAACCTTACCGTAACTCCCTGATGATTTGATAGGCATTTGAGAAAACCTGTTTTGTTAGTGGATCTTTTTCTATTACAAGTATATCAATGCATTAATTCCTATTCATTAGGAACAAGTAACATTTTTGTACAGTAGATTTAAACATTACAAATACAATATGTCCTGTATTCTGTACAGTGGTAGATTTGTTTTCTGTACAGATGCAGATAGATAAACTCCACAAAACATCCATAACAAAGTATTTCTATTGGTTCATCAGGTATCCTCATAACTCACATTTGTGATGAAGTTCTTCTTTAATGACCAATCCTTTGCATATCTGTCTTGCAGATAAAAAGACGATTATCTGCTATCCTTTTTCTCTCATCTCGTGCTGATAAAAGTATAACAGTTACCACGAGTCCGTGAGTTCAGCCAAGAGTGAGGAAACTTCCCCCAACCCATCGAGGGTCAATTTAGTGACCAATGAGGATTACAGATGTGGTCACGTGATATGGACTACATTTCCCAGGATACCTTAACTACATTTATCATGATGCATTCCCCTAAGGGGACAGCTCACAATTGTTACCTAACTATCCAATTCTCATACACTGGCTGGACAGCACACAATATATCCATATTAGAGGAATGAAGAGAAAATATATACTATGATGTATTTATCTGGTCACAAACTTCTCAATTTTATAGATTTTAATTGACTGTAGTCTCACCGGCATTAAACACAGCTGTGTACCTTTTATTGCTATTCATTTGTTCCTGTTCTTTATATCTTCTGGAACCTCACACTTGCATTTATTACAAGAACAAAACCTATTTGGTAGTGATACAAAATCTTTATCATCACTGCTTTAGTAACCCTCAGTTTACATTTGCTTTTCCTCAGTCTGTTATGCATTCCAATCACTTTATTTGTTCCAAATCACCTGTCAATTTGTTGGTGCCTTATATTATGATGTGTTGCCACCTGCTGTAGAAGTGATGTAAATTCCTGGCAAAAAATATGCAAGAATCATACAAGTTGTTCAATTTATTCAGGAGTTGTCTGGCAGTTATAAAGAAAACAAATTCCTTTTTATTTTTAAGTAATATTTCTTCTATTTGACATATTTATATGCATTGCTTAGCATCATCCATTACAGTGACCTATGTTTTTTAAATAAGTAAACTGGTTTATTGTTAGTTTCTGATTTGGATTATATCATATGCTAACCAAAGCCATTGTTATTAATGGCTGATTACAAAAGTGAGTAT